TTTTCAGTAAAAAAAATCATATATGAATAAAGTACTTTCAAGGATCATAATGATGTTTGTAGATCAGTAATAGACAAAAAAATTTAACCCCAGTGGAGCCAGGAAATAATCTGAACGCACTAGCATGTGTCATAAGATGAAAATCAAAATCCTCTACCCAAGATAATAATAATGTAGAAGCATTGTTTTTTTAATAAAAAACATTAAAATCTTATACTTTTGGTTATAGCTCAAGAACTTTTGCCACTGAAGCCATAAAGCTCCATGCCTATAAAGCAAGCAGTACACAACAACCTCGACTGACATGGCATGTATGGGTGCTATCTTGAATTCAGGCCATCCTCACCATGGCCCATGGCAAGTACAGATGTCATCCACTGACAGTAAGTTAAAATGTCAAACTATTTTTCTGTGTATTAACATTTACCATGATTAGTACAAAATATATAGATTGCATACAGAGTACTCAATTTATTTCTTGTTAATGATTGCAGAACTGTACTCATCATACAAGGCTTAGAATTTATTGATTGCTTAAATTCATTTAGCTTACACATATTTGACTTCATTATACGATTGACTGAAAAAGCTAAGACACCAAAATTTGATTTTCACAGTCAGACTAATACTCAGTTACAAAAAAAGACAACTAAATCAACTTATGGTGAGACATTCACAAATATATTGAAAAATTACTGAAATATGGGCTGTACTTAAATGGAATGAACTAAAGGAAATCTCAGTCATATATCAGAACTTGCTGAATAACTGCAATATAGTTATTAAATATTCCATGTGGCCTAAATGATACTGGTTATGCATGTTAGTGTTTTAAATTCACTTACGACAACTTTACTTTCCAGTGTGATTATTATCATCTTTAAATAATGAAATTTGGTTCTACAACAATTCTATGGCCTGTTTTTTACTTATATCTGATGTAAGTTACAACTGCATAGCATTTTTTTCATCCCTTTTACTCTTTTGCCATTTCCATTGACTATTATATATTTTAGACAATAATTAAATGTATCTAATGTTAAAATAAACACATCCTTTTATATACAAATAATTGCAGCCTTTTTACCAAAGAAATTAACAGAAAATCCAAATATTCATAAAGGCATTACACTCTTAAGAAAATTTGAAACCTAATAAGTAACTCTCAGTACATTAATTTCATATCCATATAAAATAATTTTTGACAACATATCAACACTTAAATAAAGCAAATGCATTACAAGCAATAAAGATAACAATATCATTTTTGGAATAAATACATAGATGTAGTTGGAATTAATATTCCTAATTCTCCCTTTTAACATAAATACAAATATGACTGAAAAAAATTATTTCGTAAGTACCTGAGACATTTTACTATTGTCTAATACATGCTGAAAACTTAAACAACCTTGGACAAGACAATTACAAAGATCAAACATGACAACTGCTTCACACTTCAATGCATATAAAAATATTTAAGCACAAAAGCCCCTCATTATACAAAAACAGAATCCTTTAGGCTTTGATCTACACTTTTCAAGAAATCTATTACATTGCACTCATCATTTCATTTACAAATGCTTTACCTTATTTTCTTAAAAGTAGGTTTACTCTTACATTTGGAATGCATAGCAGAAGACACAATTCATTAAAAATATATGTTGATAACTTGATTTTCTTAAATAGCATGATACGCAACCGCCTTTTTACTTTATACATAACAACTCACTTTACACATAATAAAGTTCTTTTATAAAACTTCTGCAGCTGACTTGTCATTTAAGAATTTGATAGTCAGCCTAGGTTATTCAAAAACACAATCATAAAACAAAGAATATGCAGTAGACTATAACTAATACACGATTATGATTCACTATCCATTAATTGCATAAACAAGTTGCTATAGATAACAAAGCTCAAAATGATTAAATTCCGCAAATCTGACATCTGTACTGTATAACTCTGCATCTCCATTTGATGTTATTTCAAGAGGACCACCTGCCGACTAAACTGCCCCTGAAGACTTGTTGAGAAGCTGATCCAGTTGGCCAATAATAGAGTCTAGATATGGCCGTTCATTTGGATCCACTTTTACTATGCTCTTGATGAGTTCAATGAGGTCCTAAAGGTGAAAAATAAATAGGCTTATTGTTAATGTGATATTACGAAATACGAATATGCACTTCTTTGGAAAAATTATTCTTGTATTGCATTTGATATGTGGATAGATACATGGTTGGACAATAGAAGGATGAATGAATAGGTGGATGATTGGATGAATGAATGAATGGATGAGTTGATAGAACTAAACAAGGAAGGCAGGGATGGATAAATGATTGGATAATTTGATGGCTAAGGCAAAAGAATGAAAGCATGAATGGATGAGTGGATGGCTTGGATAGGGCCATGAGCAAGTGGATGGCCAGGTAGATAGATGAGAGACAGAGTGGACCGATAAATGTATGAACTAATAAGGGAAGACAGGTGAATATATTCACAGATGAGAAAAACAGATACTGACAGCTAGAGAATACAGAAACAGACATTGACTCTGAACAGGATTCCTGAAAAAAGTTACAAGGACAGCATTTTACACATATGGCTATATAAGGGCATTCATTTCAAGTGTATAGATATTAAACCCTATGATCTGAAAGTCATGCCCATCACATCATGAAACCACTTGGCTTGAGGGTTGGGTGATGTGAATATGCCGTCATGGAAAACTCTGGCTGTGGTCTGGGGTGATGGGTTCTTCCCCTTGTGAGCATTTCAGCTGAAGGCCAGCGTGATGGAAAAGACTCACCACAAGTGCGCAATCCTCTTAGAGAGTGATTAGACTCATTTGGCATTTAGATAGGCTTTTTGCATTATTTCCACTGATAAATGAATGTGGAATGTACTGTCTGTGAGCCATGACTGGAAGAGTACTGGCACCAGGGAGGAAACCGTTTCCATGCTCAGCATGTTATTCCTGGCTGCCATGACTGGCAACACAGGTTGTATTACAGAAAATTGAATATTACCCCCAAAAAATTAAAATGATACAAATAACAAAATATTATTTATTGTTAGTATTCTTGCACTGAGTTATGGACTCCCTAGAGAGATGATATGGAATCTATGCAAGGAAAACAGCCTATTATCATCCTAGTAAAGCAAATCAAATGAAAAATATGGACATTGGAAAAGGCAAAAGCAATAAAAATTATTATGCATAAAAAATAAAATAAAATTACTAAGGGGAAGCAAAGAGTCTTGTCACCGCACGCAAGTGTTCTCGAGCACCCAGCCTGCAAGCATCGTATCCATCAAAGTTACCGCTCATATAAGCTTAATGCCCATATTTCTTCAGGCCATGTGACTGCCATGAAGCAACTGGACACAAGGGGATAATATCAAAATGCCAGACATAAAGGTAATCAAATGATTAACAAATGAATCTTTGCTTAACATGAAAGAATTTATCACTAACAGTCTGCATCTATTTCCACTCTTTGCCATGATGATGGGATAGTACTTTAGCTAGCATTTCAAAAATTATATGACATAATGTCATGTCTAATTGCTTTATTGTGTCAAAATATGTATGTATAATTTTACATTTGATAACTTTGCTTATACTGATAGAAGATAATAAAAGATTGTACCAAATATACATGATGGATTACTAAGCAAGGCATTATAAATTACTGCACACTCATATATAAAAAAAACATCAGAATGCACTTACTTCAGAGTATGAATGATTTTCAGGATATTTGGTAATTCCACTCGCTACTGCTAAGGCTACACTGTCCCCTCTTTCATAGACAGCTTCAAATGGAGATCTGTAGAAGCAGAGTGCATACAGCAAACAACCCAGCGACTGAAAAGGAAATCCAAATTATTACAAGAAATATATAAACTTCGGCTACATCTCATGTATGACTAAAAATATCAGTAATATGACAGACTGTGCAAAGTAAGTAACTATTTCAAAAGTTAATTCCCACATCTCAAACTGATTATCATTTTCTTCCTTAGCATCTTAGATTAATACATTTACTATAAATACAGTCAAACGCATTCACAGTCTTTGGCTACTTACCCAGACATCTGTTCGCTCATCAATGTGACAAAATGATTCTACATTGAAGAGTTCTGGAGCCCTATAAGGCATAGAGCTTCTCTCTGCAGCTTCATCCTGCAATTTCCGGGCTTCTGAGCTTCCATTTATCTCAACTCTTGCACGAGCCACAGACCCTGAAAAGGAGGTAATATAATCTTTTTGGTCTAACATATCCTTCATACAACAAATCAAAAATTGCTTGTTTAGTGTTCTTACTCAGACTCAAAACCCATATCATCTAAATATTTAGGATTAGACATACATTCCATAAAAAAAAATAAATAAATAAAATCATCATACTCTAAGCAACTGATAGAGCTGGAATCAAACACATCAAATTTAGACAGAAGGGGAATCAAACAAATTGAATCAATGTGGAAGCGGACTCAAGTCATAGGTCCAGAGCCTATTACAACAGATTTGGTGATAATGCCTAAGCCACAACTCCTCCGCCCAGGGTTGTCTCTAGAGAGGATATATAGATGTGAAGGATCATCCGCAAGATGTTATGCCAAGTGTCCATATACCCTGAGTCAATAGTCCCAGATTGCTCATGAAACAGGGTACAGTCCTATCAACTGTGCCCTATGATCTGACACAAAAACCTGTTACAAAGTTGTCAAGATGAGACTCCAAGGCACAGGATAGAATCAGGGTACAGTCCTATCAACTGACAGTTTCTCTGTCATATAGTACAACTAGCCTTGAGGACACAGTTTGGCCTTTATGCATAGCGCACAATTGGACTTATAACAGCTCTCTTCACTGACTCAAAGCACTAGGATACTGACTTGTGATCTGGCTGTCCAAATTGCTCTGGGTCCAGATGTGCCTGATGAAAGTGAGAACACCATCCAGTATGTTGAAAAGTGTAATACCTCAATGATTGCTGCAATCCAAGCTATCTCCTTGCCAGTTACAGAGAGGGATGATCATGCCCCTCAGCAAGAACAGTACCCAATTGCCAGATGGCAGCCAGAGTAGCAGGCTATGCACAAGCTATGAGTTTATCACCAGATTTTAACATTTCAGCAAAGATGCTACAAGTACCCTTCAGTTTGGAGGTCATCTTTTAAATTTCTGTCAAGGTTGAAGGTTTCTCACTGATGGGGGATTACATCTTCACTCACATCCATGCTATATGTCTGTGGCTCAACCTGAAACAGTTGCTCAATGTGCTCACCGTAACCTTCTCACACCCCAAAACTCTTTGCGATGATCTGAGATTATCTGTTCATTTACTTATTGAATTACAGTTAGGCATAAGGGGAGGAGCTTTGAGTTGAGCTTTCTTAATTCAGGAAAAATGTAATTTACAAAGAAATTGGCCTCCAACCTCTTCAGCATGAATCTTGAAATGCTGTTCCTTGTCCCTAGTCAACAATGTCTTAATCCTACACACCAGGAATTGGTGAAAATCCTGATCTCCAGCCAGTTAAACTTTATTCTATCATTCTAACATGGCCTGTAAGATTAAGTTCTGCCTTGGCCTTAGATGGTCAAGAATGAACTCCTAAGCAGCAACAAGTACTTCACAACTGAAGGTGTCCCATAATACTAGCAATTGAAGCAATTAGAGAAAGCTATGGAAAAATAGCAAGGACACTCGTCCTTTCTCAGTTTATCAAGGTCACACGCCCTAAGGCAGTCACCAAATAGATGGAGAGTTTTGTAATGGGCATTGAGGGTAGCCATAAACAATTCTAGAGGATTTTCTATCTTGAAAAGGATGTGGTTGTTCTCTTTGGTTGTAATCCCTCCTGTACCAGGTCTAGCAATATAGGTTATATGATGATACTTGGAGTCAAAAAGCCTCAATCTATGGAACCCCACAAAGGCACAGTAGAAGACATTGTTCTCATGACTAGCATCAGCTCTTGTGCTATGATAATGAGTATATATCTCTTAGCCAATTCAATCAGAGCCAGATACCACACTTTAGTCACCCAGTACAATATGGATATCATGTTGAGTACAGTTTTCTGCCACAAAGGCAAGTTTGGTATAGAACTTTTTTCATCATGGCTTTATACATTTGAAGGAGTGAAGACAAAAAGCCAAATGTGTGCTTCAGTCTGAATATTATTATATGCCCAACAACTGGAGCTAACTCTAATACCAAAGGCTAAATTTTACTGGAGACATCTATGGTTATGCCCTTTGATGAAACCACCCTCACTGATAGTAGTGGCAATCAATCATCCTAATGTAACCATCTGGGTGGGAGCATGTTCCTAGCCCCCATCCTGATGGTTGCATTAGGATGATTGAGTTGAGATTGCCTGAGATGAGTGCTACCCTAGCTACCTTCTGCAGCATTGACCCAAACAAAGGTCGATCAGGCTCCAGGGTAGGTTTCCAAGAGGCTTTGCTGGGTTAGCACTCATCGGGTCACAAGTGGATAGGTTTCCCCTGCTCCCCAGCTGTGGCCTGGTGACCATCCTCTCTACATGAGCCACAGCCTGCCTTGAGTATCTCTCAATAGGTCTCTCAGGAAAGCAGAATGAACTGACTCCCTACTAACGATTGACCCTAGGCACTGAGGGGCATGAGTTTGTATGAAGTCAGAGCATATCCACGGCCTGGTGGGTAATAGCCCCATACCTTTAAGGCTTCCTGCTATTCCAAGATTCTCTCCAGTTTAGCCAAGCACAGCACTAATAAGCAGTAACAGCTGTAATTGAGAAGGTACACAAGCACATAATACCAGCAAGCAATACCACTACTTCATATCACCCTTGGCATCAAACACTCACCCACCAAGCTAAGATAATAGCCACATATAGGGGACTCTTTCACACCATATAAGTATCCTTGCACACTGCCAAAAATGCTCACCTTATCATAACTTGTTTTCTAGGAGAAACATCATGTACTTCATACTAGAAGTGGAATTTTGAAGCAACCCAATGCTGTGATCAAACATGTATAACCAACAATTTTTGACAAAACAGGGAAAAAGACAGGCATTCCAGAGTGAATATTCACTAAACAGCTTATGAACCACTTTGTCTATGAAATGGTTAATCAGTTTACTGTTACCTGACTATGAAATAGCCAATTAGTTTACTTTTACATGATGAACACAAGGTTACTGAATTTTCTCATTATTTTGATGCCATGTGGATTACATTGACATCACAAAGAAAATTGCCTGCTTTTATGGAGGGTCTACATAACTCATTGATAGTAAATTTAAACAATAAACTTACTTTGAATCTTCTTAAAAGAGTAAAGATAATAACAAACTGGTAATGGAGAACAGGGAAAAATATCAATGATTTCCCTGCCAGTTTAAGAGGCTAAAGGATGATCAATTAACCTAAAAGGTCCAAGAGATAAAGAAGAATTGGTCTGAATTATCTCATCCAGTCTTTCCAAAGTTATGAAGAGACTGGAGGTAAAAAATGGAATAAAATCCATATGCAGGTCCTTGTTTCATAAATAAATGGATTTTTTTCTTTTAAAAATCTAAAAAGATGAACATATATTTCTTCCAAAAAGTAATGTCTTTAAGGAATATTTGAGCAAAACTATCAAAGATTAAAATGACTTGAATATGAAAAAAGGAAGAAATATCTTTGCCTCTATTTGACTATGATATTACAAAAATTACCCTGTAACTTCACACCACAAAAAATCCATCATTAATTTTAAAGCCTATTTTGTCAAGAACTATGCACACTCACCTAGATCCATGAGGAGAGGCGTCAAATCATCCTTTATGAGAACATTAGCTGTTTTGATGTCACGATGTGCCAGTGGATGTGGCTTGGCACTATGCATGCACTGCACAGCCTCGCATATCCCTCGGAACAGAGTCAACACCACCACCTTGATAAAATTGAAACTGTTACTTCTCCTGTTTATAAAATGAGGCACAAGACCAGCTGTTCCATTTCAAACTGTTGGTCCAGCCCCTTACTAAGCTTGTAATCTGTGCAGATTAATTAAGAAATCTTTGCCTGGATCTTATTCTTCATCCACCTGTGATATCAAGAATTGATAAAGAAGGATAAAAGCAGCATTTGAACAGATAATTAAAAAAATAAATTTTCCCATCTTCATCATTCCGTACTAATCCAACCAGCTATCAGACTATGAATAGACATACCAGGTCAAAAAAAAAATAAATAAATAAATACAAAATAAAAAATAAAAATATAATAAAAAAACATGTAAGCCTCCCAATAATTTCCCTAGTAGGTATATAAGAGTTAAGTTTCACTGTTTTCTCTAAATTTCACTGATTATGTTATGTTTGTGACTGTCACAAGTTTCTGAAGATAACATCTTAAATACATGAATTAAAAGTATGTGAATTTACCAAAAGATATCTTCCCACCTACTTCTTCCAGGAGGACAAAACAGAATACGTTAAAGTAATCTCAGAAAATACACAAAACTGAAATATACAAAAGGCAACAGTATCATCTTTGAAAACTGATATCACTTACGGGAAATTACTCTTTTGGCATATTTCAGATATATTTCATGACCTTGCTTTATTCTAATGGTAGAACTTCATCAGTCAACACTTTGATATTTTCATGGGAGGATCAAAAAAATTGAAGTCATATGACAAATCTAGGGACTTACCTCATCTAGATGGGTTCCTGTTTTCTGTCTGCGCATCAGTTCATCATGTAATGTCCCTCTCTGTAAAGAAATGGAGGTACATGAATATTTTTTCTCTTAGAAGCAGTACTCGATATTCCTAGTTTAACAATCATTAAAAATGGAAAATGCAACACACAAGAATATAGTCTGATCAAAACCTTGTATCTAAAACATTTTTGGTGAAATGCAGAAAACATAAAATGCCTTAGTGGTAGTTTGAAACATTTAAATGATCCAGCCTTTATAAAACTGTAAAAAAGGTTACATCTTAACATATGGGTTTAAAGCATTTTGTATTTTTGCACACATTTTCAAAGAAGAAGCTGCTAGAAAGTGGTTATGTGTACTTAAATAATATATGGAACCCTTACTACCCTCAGTGCTCAAGGAGTTAGTATACCTGTTTCCTGCAATCAATAAAGATTTAACTGCAGTAGTCTGTTCACTGAAATCAGTGCACCTGCAACCTCAGTTCTAAGTACATACAGTTCCATTCTGTCAAATGTTTTTATATAGTATATTTTCTTGAAATTTTGATATGTTAAAAATACACGTCTACATAACAAAAATATGTCTCTCACTGTGAAATACCCTTTAGTCTGTGACAGGGAAGTCAATACAATCTATAATTAAAAATGTTAAACACGCAATGAAGCATTCGCAACCCACCTGACAATATGGCAATACAATAAGGACCTGTGAGGTGCGATTTCCCATGAGATCTGGAACTCCTACAAGGTCTGAGTCTATGCATTCTACAATGTTGGAATGACTTAGTGACCTATGATACTCCACTTCTGTTAGTGCAACCTAAGAAAAAGTAAACAAATAGTATATATCATTAATTTAAAAAATAAAAAATGGTCCTGTAAACCATAAAAAAAAATGTATATTCACATGAACTATAATTGCAGATAAAAAGATAAATATATATATATGATTTCCAATATTTATATAAAAATATATAAACTACCTTTTGATCCTCCTGAGAGTGACATGTAATACGTTTAAGTGCATAAAGTTTATGTGATGCTGCATCTTCAATTAGATCTACTGTGCTGAACCCTCTGTTGATAGAGAATTTTTTTTTTTATTATTAGTGACAATATCTATATGATCAACATCTGATATTTAGGAAATTGTCTTTTTTCTTCTTCTTTTTATAACATGATCTTCTCCAAATCAAATTCAATTTTATTCATTGTCAGTTTACAGTGATGATCATTTACTGTCAAGATACAAACAACTCTGTAAAAATTCATGCAT